TGTGTGTGTGTGTGTGTGTGTGTGTGTGTGTGTGTGTGTGTGTGTGTGTGCGCGCGCATACATACACACAAATAAATAAAAATACCACTTTTTAAAAACAGAGGTACTTAGCTGGGTGTGGTGACACATGCCTGTGATCCCAGAGGCAGAGGCAGGTGGATCTCTGTGAGTTCAAGGCCAGCCTGGTCTACAAAGTAAGTCCAGGAGAGCCAGGGCTACACAGAGAAACCCTGTCTCAGGGAGAAAGGAGGGGGTACTTAGGTTTGCATTCTGAATGTCACTTGTCAATAAAAGTTTATTTTATGAATGAATTAGTAAAATCGTGGTTTTTTTGTTTTGTTTTGTTTTTTTGTTTTTTTTTTTTAATCAAGTGTTGGGCTAGGGAAATGGCTTATTGGGTAAAAAGCATTTGCTAGGCAGCCTTGACAACCTGAGTTCAGTTCCCCGGTGGAGGAAAGAACTGACTTCCAAAAGTTGTCCTCTGACCTCCCCGTGTGGTCATAAGAGGTCTCGCCACGTGCGTGACTGTATTGGAGAGACCTCACAGTTTGACCCCGATAATCCCCAAAAGAACTAGATGTGAGGTCATCACCCCTGGGCTGTAATGAAGTAGGAGAGGCACAGGGATGTTCAGGGACCTGCTCTGGGGTCAGAAAGACAGGATGCAAGTAAATGGGTGGATGAGGTGAATGGGTGGGTGGATAGAAAGGATGGATGGATAGATGAACTGGTAGGCAGGTAGAAGGTTAGCTTGGCAGATAGATAGATGGCTGGGCAGTCTAATAGGCAGGTAGGTGGCTAGGTTGGCTGATGGATGGGTGGGTGGGTGGACAGATGGAGCTGCTGAATGGTGGGTGCACTTTCAGAAACCAGGTTTATCCCTGCCCCTAGCCTGTTCCCGCCAGCCCTTCTCTTCCTCTCCCTCCCTAGCACCACACCCCATTCTGGCCGGAGCTCCCCAAGCAGCTCCCCTTCTCTGCGCAAGCGGCTGCAGCTCTTGCCTCCAAGCCGGCCCCCTCCCGCTCCTGAGCCAGAATCAGGCACCATGGTGGAGAAGGGGTCTGACAGCTCCTCAGAGAAGAGTGCGGTGCCGGGGACACCGAGCACCCAGAGCCTGGGCAGCCGGAACTTCATCCGCAACAGCAAGGTGGGGGCGAGCTCAGGTGGGATCGGGAGAGGGCGGCCAGGGCAGAAAACACAGGGCCTCCTCCTGACTCGACTCTCTCTCTCTCTCTTACAGAAGATGCAGAGCTGGTACAGCGTGAGTATCTGCTCATGGGGCTTGGTAAGGGTACACGGGGTTGGGGGGACCTGTCTCCCGGCCAGGAGCTCCAAACCAGAGCAGTTAAGAGCCGGTGATATGTACGGAGACACACATCAGACGCTCTGGTTTACGCACCGGATGGGTTGCTGCTGTGATGGTCTCTAAGGGGCCTTGGGTGGCCCTTCCTCTTTCTCCTTAAGAGCCATCACCCCAGTCTTGCAAGGCCAAAGGGAACACTGGGTAGAATTTAGCGATGCTGGCTGGTGCCTTGCACAGAGCCTGGCTCATATATGAAGTGGGTCAGTAGGGGCCAGAGAGATGGATCAGAAGTGAAGAGCACTGGCTGTCCTTGCAGAGGACCCAGGTTTGAGTCCCAGCACCCATATGGCCACTCACAACTGCGTGTAACTCCAGTTCTAAGGGGTCAGATGCCCCGCTGGCCTCCACCTGCACTGGACACACAGATGGTACACACATATGCAGGAGAAACGCTCATACACGTAAATATGTATTTTTAAAAGTAAGTAAATTGTAGGTACCCTTACGATAACGTGTATGTTATGGCCAAAGAGGCCCCAAGGTCCCCAAAAAGACTTGAGAGGGATTGGAAGCTTTTGGGGGCCAAACAGGGTGTGAGGATCTCCACTCAGGACGCCATGCCCCAAACCCCTCCACAGATGCTGAGTCCCACGTACAAACAGCGCAATGAGGACTTCCGGAAGCTGTTCAGCAGACTCCCCGAGGCCGAGCGCCTGATTGTGGGTGAGACTCCATGCCCCCAGCCACAGGGTTGGTCGGCTCCGAGCCCCTGGCCTCCCTCCCGCTGGTCCGAGGGGCGGCCGGGCCAAAGCATGTGACTCGGGTGTCCACCTGTCTCTCCCGTGCTGCTCTCAGATTACTCCTGCGCCCTGCAGCGGGAGATCCTTCTCCAGGGCCGCCTCTACCTGTCTGAGAACTGGATCTGTTTCTACAGCAACATCTTCCGCTGGGAGACCACGGTGAGTTTGCACCGCAGGTGGGGGATGGTGGGGGACGGAGGGGGCCCCCAGGTGGGCGGGCGGGGCTTCCGGCCGCTTCTCAAGGCGGCGCTGTGCCCCGTTTAGATTTCCATCCAGTTGAAGGAAGTGACCTGTCTCAAGAAGGAAAAGACGGCCAAGCTCATCCCCAATGCCATTCAGATCTGCACGGAGAGCGAGAAGGTGAGCGGAGGGCTCCGTGTGTGCCAGGATGGCGGCAGGGACCCTCACCTCACCCGGACTCGGCCATTTGTGCTGCATCTGGCCTGTTTAGTCTCTCAGCGCTGGCAGCTCCCCTCGTTTTGACTGGGGTCCCAATGACTTCCTCCCTGTGCAATGTCCCTCACATAGAAGCCCGGTAATGCTGTGACCCTAAAAATTCCCATGAATCCAGCAGTTCAGCCAGAACTGGGATAAGAGCCCAGGGTAAACACACCACCACTGAGCCATCTCCCTAGATTTTTTGTGGGGAGGGGCCAGGGTCTCCATTGCCCCATCTGCTCTGAAACCCAGTATGTAGTCCAGGCTGGCTGGCCTTGAACTCACAGCGATAAGCCTGCGCCTGCCCCGAGTGCTGGGCTTGAAGGTGTGCTTATTTGCTTTCGGTATTTCTCTCTCTTTATTTTACGGGTACAGCCGATTGTCCCACATATCACGTGGAGGCCACAGAGGGCATTAGCTCTCCTGGCACTGGAGTTAGAGATGCTTGTGAGCTCCCAAAAGTGGGTGCTGGAAACCCAAGCCCGGTCCTCTGTAAGGACAGGAAGCTCTCTTCACCACTGAGCCCTCTCTCCAGACCCTAGACCTTGTCAGTTGTTTGAGATGGGGGTCTGGCTGTGTTGCTCAGGCTGAGCCCAAACTCCAAGTCTTGGCTCCACCTCTTTAGTCCTGGGCCGGCACCACACCTGGTGTTTGTCCTAGTTATTGCCTCTCATCCGGCTGGTTGAAAGATGGCTGGGTCACTCTGGGGTCTTAACAGGAAACAGGAAGGAGCAGGGAAAGACTCAACAGCAGACTTCCCCTTGTGATTTGCCAGCCCGAAGCTGGAAGAGTTAGCCGTCTCTGACAGCAGAGAGGGCTTGGAAAGTGCACCGGACGCTGCTGCCTCAGCCCCAGGCACGGGGAAGGCTCTGTTTCCCACCTCAGGCGCCCCTCCCCCCTGTGGTGACCACATGGGGGGGGTCCCTGAGCCGTCCTCCTCCTTCGAGTCCTCATGCTCCTCTCTCTCTGTAGCATTTCTTCACCTCCTTCGGGGCCCGAGACCGCTGCTTCCTCCTTATCTTCCGCCTCTGGCAGAATGCGCTGCTTGAGAAGGTGGGTGTGGGTGAAGGATGGGGTGGAGGATGGGGTTATCAGGGAGGACCCCAAGTTCCCAGGAAACCCCCAGCTCTTCTCCATGGGCACCAGGCCCTCTGCAGCTGTGGCTTCTCCAGAGGTTTTGCCAGGGATAGGCCTAGAGTTCTAGTGCCTAGTGTTGAAGCCAAGTCCCGATGAAGGAGGAAGGGATTGGTGCAGACTGGTCCCCAGTGCTGAGGGAGGCATCATGGGAGGCTGCCAGCAGGGAGGAGGGACCTAGCTGAGCCTTCATTACACCCCTCTGCCAGCACCGCTGACACCCCTCGGATCTCCCCCCCTCTCCTCCCTCCGCTAGGCTCTGGGACTCTCTGGGGCGCTTGTTTCCCAGGGCGGCTCCAAGCCCAGCTATCTTCAAAAATAAGACTTATCAGAGACCTCCCTCCTCCCAGGAGCCTGATGGGGCGGTGTCCCCAAAGGAGGACAAGGTCAGAGGAAGGCCCAGATGCAGGCCCCGAAGTTCCAGCCCATTCACCAAGCAGCTGTGTGTGGCCCTGGGCTGGTCCCAAAAGACTGACTGTCTTTATTTCAGAGCTCTCGGGACTGGGTGTGGGCTGGGCTCGTTGGGGCTGTTGCTGTATCTTCAGCGGGGTGGATTAGGCATCGCTGGGCCTCTGAGCTCAGCGCTGTCACCTCCCGTCGGGGTGACCTCGGATAAGCCACTGGGCACATCTCGTCTTGAAATCCTGATAGCGTTGCACTAGTATCTACTTTGAGTTAGCACTTGCGCAGAGCTTGCCAGAAGGCCGGCAGCTGCGCTGTTACCATTAATTGTTCTTACTCCATTGTCCTCTCGGCCCAGCCGCTGAGGATGTATGGAGGAGGATGAGTAGCTGGAGACAGGCCAGCATAGCGGGCAAGGGCGAGGGCCCTTCTGGAATCCGCTTGCAGGGCCCAGAGCCCAGGCTCTGCAGAAAGAGATTGCCTGCGAGGTGGAAATGGGCGGGCTCGGGAGTGGGTGGCTGTGCTGCCCTCTTGTGGAAGCCAGGGGAACTGCTGCGTCCAGGCAGTAGAAACAGGAGGCCAACCTCACATCCCTTATACCTAGACACTGAGTCCTCGGGAGCTCTGGCACCTGGTCCATCAGTGCTATGGCTCAGAGCTGGGCCTCACCAGTGAAGACGAAGATTATGTCTGCCCCTTGCAGCTGAACGGTCTTGGGTGAGTTGGAGGTGGAAGGTGGCTCAAAGGGACGTTGGGAGTCCCTGACATGAGATTGATAGACATGAGGTTACTGTGCGAATCGGGGTCAGGGGAAGGGAATACAGTGACTGCAGCATGTGGAGGCTTCAGCCATCTCTCACTTCCTCCTTTCCCTTACAGGAGCCCCAAAGAGGTGGGAGATGTGATCGCGCTCAGTGACATCACCCCTTCAGGGGCGGCTGACCGGAGCCAGGAGCCAAGCCCCGTGGGTTCAAGGCGTGGCCGGGTCACCCCGAACCTCTCTCGAGCCAGCAGTGATGCGGACCACGGGGTGAGCAAGCGGATGCTTAGGGGAGAGATGAAAAGGTGGAGGAGGGAGGAGGGAACGTGGAAGATCAGTAGAGGGGCCGGGAATTGACAGAGGGGTGAGATGGGTGGAGAGAGGAAGACGATGAGGAAAATAGAGATGAAATGGGGAGAAATACAGCAGAGTGGGAGGAAAGGAAGGAGGCAGAGGGGAGCAAGGTAGATGGATAGGAGACCCCTGGGCAGCAGAGCATGTCGGCCAAGCATTCGCATAAGCCCTCATCACTGGTGGCCCTGAGGCCTCTGTCAGGCTAGCCAGGAGCCCCCAGAGTTGGCTACTCTTGCCAGGGCCTAAATTTTAGTCTGCCAGACTCTTGCGGAGAGAGGTGACCCGTGGGCAGCCTGGGGCTGGGGTCAAGGTGTGGGAAGGCCTGCATGGAGCCCTTCTCCGCAGGTCGAGGAGGACAAAGAGGAGCAGCCAGCCAGCCAGCTGGATGCCTCCGCCAGCCAGACGGTGACCCCGGCAGAACCTCCAAGTACTGAGCCGGCGCCAGCAGACGGGCCCGCCTCCCTCGGCCCCTTGGATCTGCTGTCCCGGGAGGAACTGTTGACAGACACAAGTAACTCATCTTCGTCCACTGGGGAGGAAGGTGAGGCAGGTGACCCCAGTTCATTCACTCAGGTTATACCCAAGTTAGGGCCAGCGAGAGGGGAAGGCGTTGGTACATAGGGCAAGCCACCACGCACGTGGCCAGATTGGTGTTTCAAACAGCGTGCGTGGCCAAAAGGGGCAGGCTGTAAAATTGGTTTCTTTGTTTGTTGCTTTTCTGTACTAATTTTCGGGTAGTCTTTACTCTTGTGGCACAGAGACAGAGGGCCCCAGGCCTGGCTTGCCTGACAGTTTACGGCACAGTGACTCCACCGAAAATCCCAGACTCGCCTTCGATTGGTCAGGCATGACAAACGAGTCCCTTTGACCGTAGGAATCTGTGCCAGTGGGCACCATTGCGGTGGCTTTAACTGGTGGGGCTGGGCCGTGTGCCCACCCTGAGCCAGTCGTGCAGTGTAGGCAGGGTTGAGTATTGTTCTGGGTCTCTGGGTGCCTCTTGTTCAGGAAGATGAGGGAGCGGGGTGGGGGGGAGCAGTGGGCCTGGAGTAGGGAGAGGCGTTGCCCGCCTAACGAGGACCCTGTCTCCCAGGGGACCTGGCTGCCCTGCTTCCCGACCTCTCCGGCCGGCTCCTCATCAACTCCGTCTTCCACATGGGCGCTGAGAGGCTGCAGCAGATGCTCTTCTCGGACTCACCCTTCCTCCAGGGCTTCCTGCAGCAGTGCAAGTTCACAGGTCAGAGGGCAAAGGTTGCTTTCGGAGGCTCCCTCGTCTCCCCTGCCCCCGCAGGAGCGGGCAGCCTGCAGCCTCTTGCTGGCTGAGAGGCCTCAGAGAGGGTTTCGAGCCTCTGCATGCCTCAGGTTCTTCTGCACACTGGCGAGCTTGGTAGTGCTTGCCTTAGCGTCAGAGGTCAGTGAGTGGCCGCTGTGAAAGGGCCTCTGGCAATGACACGGTAACCGATGCGTGGCGGCTGGCGGCGTCTGCTCCCTCCGGCTCCTCCAGTACTGCAGAGCAGTGGAACGTCCCAGGCAGACGGCGTGCGATTAGGCTTGGTTCTAACCAGACATTATTCCTGGGTAGAGCCTTGAGTAGGCCAAGATAAGTGGAACTAGACACTTCTAGGAGACTAGAAGACAGTGGGGCTGGGCTGGGGAGATGGCTCCCTCCCTAATTGTCGAGGACCTGAGTTTGATACCCAGAACCCACATAAAGTCAGTGCTGGGCCAGCAAGATGGCCCAAAGCCCGCATGGCGGAAGGGGAGAACCGACAAGCTTTTCTCTGACACACATGCCCCGATACGCATGGCCCCACACAAGTAAATAAATGCAGTAAAATGTTTGCACTCCCGTGACATACCCAGACATGGACACACACACACACACACACACACACACATACACACACATACACACACAGAGGCTTACACAGGCACACGTACACACACAGACACAAAGATATGCACATACAGATACACATGGAGACAGAGAGACACCATAAATACACACACATAGACACTCACATAGATACACAGACAGAGACACACAAACACAGAGTCACAGAAATACATACTTACACAGACACATACACACACAGATACGCAGAGACACACACATATACAAACACGGACATATACAGAGAGACACATACAGACACACACACAGAGAGACAGCATACAAACACACACAGACTCACAGACATACAAACACAGACATACAGACACATACTTCCACAGACACACGTACATACTCACACAGACACAGACAGACACAAACAAAAGCCACGAAGAATAAACTAGATCTAAAAGTTCTTTAAAAGCTGGGCATGGGGGCTGGAGAGACGGCTCAGAGGTCAAGAGCACAGGCTGTTCTTCCAGAGCTCCTGAGTTCAATCTCCAGCAACCACATGGTGGCTCACAACCATCTATAATGAGATCTGGAGCCCTCTTCTGGAGTTCAGATGTACATACAGGCAGAACACTGTATGCATAATAAAATAAATCTAAAAAAAAAAAAAAAGGCTGGGCACTGTGGCCTGTGCTCTGATCACACTCTCAGGGTAGGCGTGGCCAGCTGACCTGTCCCAGTTGGTGAGCGTCAGGCCACCCGCAGACTCTGTCTCAGGAAAACAAGGTGGATGGCACTTGAAGAGGAATGACGTGTGAGGTTATTTGCTCTCTGGCTCCCATGTGCACGCTCTCATACGTACCCACACACATCAACACTCACGACCACGCACAGGCATATACACACACACACATGCAGACACGCCTCCCACCCTCCCCCAAGACAACGGAGGGAACATGCTGTAGGGAAGTCAAGGCCTGGGACTCTGCTGGGAGCCTGAAGGATGCTGGAGTGGGGAGCCACTCCATGAGAGGGTGTGGGGGCCACTGGGTTCAGTGTGGAACCCGGTGTGTGTAAAGGTTCAGGGGACCTCCAGGAAAAGGTGGCACAAAGGTTGTGGTTCCCTCCTTTGATGCTTGGGAGAAACCGAGCCTGGTACAAAAAGGAAACTGAGGCAACAGCAACAGGACTCCAAACCCAAAGCAGCGCGGGCAGCACACAGCACAGCTGGAGACTCGGGGCTGGGTGATACAGCTGGGCACGAGTCCCCGGGAAACTGAAACCCTCCGGGAGGGCCCGGGGACACAGAAAGCAAACCACCGTCCTTGTCCTCCTCCTTCCGCCCCCAGACGTGACCCTGAGCCCTTGGAGCAGTGACAGCAAGTGCCACCAGCGCCGAGTCCTGACCTACACCATTCCCATCAGCAACCCGCTCGGCCCCAAGACCGCCTCGGTGGTGGAGACGCAGGTGGGCTGGGTGAAGTGGCTGGATGGCCGGGCTGGCTGTGTGGGGCAGCCCTGACCTCCCTCCGTCGTCCCCTTCTCCCCCAGACGCTGTTCCGGCGAGGCCCGCAGGCGGGCGGGTGCGTGGTGGACTCTGAGGTGCTCACCCAGGGAATCCCGTACCAGGACTACTTCTACACTGCGCACCGCTACTGCATCCTGGGCCTGGCCCGGAACAAGGCCCGGCTTCGGTGAGCCCCGCTGTGCCACTCCCTGCCCCACCTCCGCAGGGAGGGCTGCCTCCCGCCCTGGTGGAGGTCAGAGGGCGGCCCCAGGGCCCAGCTCCGGAGAGGTCACTGGAGAACTGAGGAGTATACACATAAGTGAAAAGGACAAATGCCCAGCCATTTATTGAACACCCCTTCTAGGCCTCAGGGGCAAAACTTGCTCATAAGGGACCCCGAACTCTACTGGAGAAAACCTAATGAGGTTTAGTGATTGCCAAATGCCCTCAGCTTGTCACGACAAAGACCGTCCTCTAGACCTGACCCAGCTCCTCTCTGTCACTGTCCTAGCGTGTCCTCGGAGATCCGCTACCGAAAGCAGCCGTGGAGTCTGGTGAAGTCTCTCATCGAGAAGAACTCCTGGAGCGGCATTGAAGATTATTTCCACCACCTGGGTAGAGGGCGGAAGGCTCGCTGGGGCGGGGGGCGGCCGGGCTGAGCTGGGTGCAGACGTACCGAGTCAGCCCTTGTCCCTCAGAGCGGGAAATCGCCAAGGCAGAGAAGCTGTCCCTGGAGGAAGGAGGGAAGGACGCTCGGGGGCTGCTGTCCGGCCTGCGGAGGCGGAAGCGGCCCCTGAGCTGGAGGGGCCACGGAGATGGGCCTCAGCACCCGGACCCGGACCCCTGCACCCGGGCCAGCATGCACACCTCAGGTGCGTTACCTCGAGACGGGCGGCTGGAGGAGGTGGTCCCCAGGGAGCGCCAGGCTCACCCCAGGTTGCTGTTTCACAGGCTCCCTGAGCTCTCGATTCTCAGAACCATCCGTGGATCAGGGCCCCGGGGCAGGCATCCCCACCGCTCTGGTTCTCATCAGCGTCATGTGAGTAGAGAGACTGGCGTGGGTCTGCAGCCTGGTCACGAGCTCGGCCTCCGCTTTTGTTGGGCTCAACCCAGCAAGGATGGCACGGGGTGTGTTGGGGAATAGAGCCCCTGCGTGCTGCTCAGTCTGTGTTAGAGGAGTCTTGCTTGCTGGGACAGCAGCCGCCCTGGGACCGTGGGAGATCAGAGGGGAGAAATTTCTGAAAGGAGAAACAGTAGCCACATAAAGGAAGTCAGGTCTCGGACACACTGCACTCTGGTTTTTCTGAGCTCAGTCCTGAGTTGAATGAGGCCGGAGACACAGCAGTGACCGAGAGTCCCGTGGGAATGGCCGGAGAGCTGTCACCAGACTGGAGCGAGGAGGCTGGGCAGGCATGGGAGGTCATAGCGGCCAGAGATGACGGGAAGACATCACAAGATCCAGGGAGCCAAGGGCGCTTGAGCTGAGACCCCGTGGGGCTTTGGGCAGGGACGCTGGGCATTTGGAGGCCAGTGTGTATGGGAGGCCAGAACACTGAGGAAAAGAGACCACCTCCTCCCCCTCCAACTTCAAGGCGACCCAGCCACAAGCTCAGCCTCTTGAGGCCTTGGTTTCCTAAGGTCATCTGGGAGGAGCTTTGTGGTCTTTGGGGCTCAGAGCTAGACGCCCGGGGTGGAGGAGGGGCCGGGTACCAGTGCTGTCCCTGAGCAGTTCTCCCGTCTCTGTCTTCCCCTCGCTGCCTCCGCAGGATCTGTGTGAGGTAGGCCCTACAACCTCCCTCTGCTACCCCCTCTATCACAGCTCATCCCCCAGCAGCGTTCTCTCCCTGTTCAATGTCCCTGGCTCTTCTGGGGAGGATGGCTTGGTGTGGCCAGCAAGCACGTAGGCATGACGTAGGTCAGAATGTGGGCCCTGGCTTTTTTGCTTACGGGCTGTGGGACCCTAGGCAGAGGAGAGTCTCTCTGAGCCTCTCTACTCCGGAAAGAGGGGGGGTGATTGTGGCGCCCTTTAAGGTGTGGTTACTCTGGTGTGTTGGGGACGGTGTAGAGCTCCACGCCTGACTGGAGGGAGCATCATGACCTCTGACTCTGTCCCCAGCCTCGTTGTCCTCATCGCTCTCAATGCCCTCCTCTTTTACCGGCTCTGGTCTCTGGAAAGGACTGCCCACACCTTCGAGTCTTGGCACAGCCTGGCACTGGCCAAGGGGTAAGTGGAGAGAGCCTGAGGGCAGGCCCCAGGGCTTAAGCAGAGTAAGTTGGCCGAGACCCTTCACTCGGGCGCTGCATCTCCACAGGAAGTTTCCCCAGACAGCCTCGGAGTGGGCCGAGATCTTGGCCCTGCAGAAGCATTTCCATAGCGTCGAGGTACACAAGTGGCGGCAGATCCTTCGCGCATCCGTGGAGCTCCTGGATGAGGTGCGAGGCGGCTCTGTGGGGCTTTGGGTCCAGGCGCCCTCCTCTCCGGGCCCGTTTCCTCCCTCATAAAACGAGAGAGACGGTCCTGGTACCGACCTAGCTTGCTTAGGGAGGTCCAGGGAGCAGAAGGGGCAAAGCGATCGTGTCACGGGAAAACACCCTTCAGGCATGGCTGGACCCAGCCGCCCAGCGAGTGGCTGTAGTTTGAACCCCGTCTTTTTATTCTGCTGGTGGCAGTTTGGGCTTGGGGGACATGCCGAGGGTAGCTCTCTCTGTCATTAGCTGCTGGGGTCACATGCATATCCTGCTCTGAGCTGACCACAGTGGCCAGGCTGGACAGCGCTTGGTCCTCTGCCTGTCTTGGCCTTAGATCTGCTGATAGCAGAGTGACCCTGCAAGGACATTTGGGTCTTATCTCCAGAAAGGGGTTGATGAAGCCGCCGTGTGGTAGCTCAGGGGACACTCAAGGTCAGACCGTGCTGTGTGGCCTTATGGAAGTGACTGTCATTTGGGCCTTGGCCGTACCTTCTGAATGCCAGAGAGTAAACCGTTCCTTTTTGAGGCAGGAATGCACTGACTCATTGGAGTGGTGCCAAGCATACTGTAAACACTTCATGTTCTTGTCGGTGAGCCTCAGGCACACAGTAGGTACCATACAGCTCTACCGTTAGGCCCCAGAGGACTGCAGCCAGCAACTGTGGAAGACTAAAGGAAATGTGAGGCGCTCAAGTGGGTGCCTATGATAGGGTGGAAGATGAAAAAATGGGGGGAAGAATCTGGTTCTGTCTGGTCCCTGAGGGCATCAGAACTCAACTGAGAGGATTGATGAAAAATGCCATTTAATGGGGCTGAGGGTGTGGCTCAGTGGTAGAGCCCCTGCCTAGAATCCCCCAGTGAGGGGCTGGGGTGTGGCTCAGTGGTAGAGCCCCTGCCTAGAATCCCCCAGTGAGGGGCTGGGGTGTGGCTCGGTGTTAGAGCCCCTGCCTAGAATTCCCCAGTGAGGGGCTGGGGTGTGGCTCAGGGGTAGAGCCCCTGCCTAGAGCATGCGAGGAACCATGGGTTCTATCACTAGCATTAGGTGGATTAGGCCGTTAGCATTAGGGCAGAAATCCAAAGCAAAACAGAAAATACTCTATCCTCCAACATTGGTTCTGACTCTTGAGGGACACTGTTGAACCACAAGCTCTCAAGGAGATGCCTCAGCGGAAAGGGCCTGCAGACCAGGGTAGGGAGGGACCTGAGACTGGGATTCCAGCTCATGGGGAGTGGAGCAGGACTCCCCAATCCTGAGTTCAAGCTTGATTATTTCCTCTCCCTAAGTTGCCAAGAATACCAAGTCGCTGTCATGTGTTAATGGGAGCAAGAGCCCATAGCGTAGCTGGGCTCTCCTGCCACTAACCAAAAGCCATACGTCCTCCAGCCAGCCTTGCGGCAGGAATCTTGTAGATTAGCTATTTTCTCAGTGATCAAAGTATGTGGCAGATACAAAGAAGGTGAACTGGTTTTCTTCCCCCTCCCCCCGCAGGAATCATTGACCACTGGTCTGAGGACAAAACACGCTACCCAATTAACCTATGGGCAGCAGGGAGAGAGGTTTGCAGGGAACCATGTCAGAGGTTATGTTCCAGATGTGGTTCCGCGTGTGTGCCTAGAGAAGCTCTCCAGATGAGGTCCAGCAGAGAGAAGGAGGCCCTGCTGGGGTGGAGGGCGCCGGGTCCCCTAGCTAGTGCCGTCTAGTGCCCAGCTCGGAGAGCGATCTGGACATGGTGGACCGCGACCGTAAACAACAGGGTCTCCCAACAGGGTGCTTTGGCTGATGGCTTATGCATGTAGTCCATCGCCGTGGCTGGCAAGGCGCCGTCCGCGTTACTGGCAGCTTGGTTCTCGCTCCGGTTAGGCTGGGATCAGGAAGGAGAGATGAGACAGAGACAGGAAGAAAGGCCAGGCTCAGATCAACAGGGCCCAGCCCTCGTGGCCTACGTCCACCCCCGAGGCCTCCTACAGGCTGTAACCTACCCAGACCAGCTGAGGATTAAGTGTTCATGGACGTGAGCCCAGAGTCTGGGACATTTCACAGTCAAACCATAAAAGGAGAAAATGTTTACTGGGGTCATGATGTGCTATCCGTCATGGTAGGTGCTCTCAGCGCATAGAACAGCAGGCCAGGAAGTGGAAACTAGGGGTCAGCTGGCACTCAAAAGACCTCCCATGGCGGCCTACCTAGTCAGTGAGGCCCTACTTCCTGAAGGCTCCGCAACCTCCCACAGCAGCGCCACCTGGTGGGCACCGTTCCACACGCCAGCCTGAGGGAGCTGGTTCAGGTTTAAGCTTTTGTTAACATCTTGTCCCCTTTTTGTGTTTAGGTAGGAGGTGTGTGGCATCCGTTGGGTCCGGGTTGGGTCCTCAGTCAAGGTCCCCTGCTGGACTTACTGTGGACCAGCTCTAGCATCCCTCAAATCTCTGACACAGTTCTGGGATGTTAATCACCCAGACTTCAGGCAGGGAAGTAGGCCCATAGCCATGAAGGGATTTACCCACTGTTAGTCATAGCAGAGTCAGGATTTGAACCCAGACCACACGGCTCCCTCTTTGAGAAGTGACCAGATCGTGAGGCAGCACAGACATGTGCTCATCCTATCCCCCATCCCCGCCCCGCCTTTTCCGGCAGATGAAGTTCTCCTTGGAGAAGCTACATCAAGGAATTAGCATCCCGGATCCTCCCGTGGACACTCAGCCACAGCCGGATGACAGCTTTCCTTGAGGACACCTGATCAAAAAGCCGTACCCCCAAATGGACAGAAGGACACACGGAACCCTGGCAGCCACTGCTGGCACGGTGCGAACGCCGCCGGGAGGTTCCTGCCTGCCCCTCCCAGCGGCCCCCGCCAAGAGCCACACAGACCTGGGGACCATAGAACCAAGATGCACTTTAGGCCTGGGCGTGCAGTCCAGCTGCTGCCGCTGCTCAGCCAGGGAGCTGGCCTGGCTCTCGGCAGGCTCCCCCTCCAACTAACTTATTTTGCCCAGCTGGGGTTGTGGGGGTTCACCTTTTGGGGTGCACGAGACCCTCATCTCTGGGTTTATTGTATTATATTTATTTGGGGATAACAACCCCCAATAAAGGGTTGGAAATGGCTGTGGCTGCGCCTGTGGGGCCCTGGGAGCAGATGCGGGCCTCCACTCACCCTGCCGTCCATGGTCCGGGGCCCTGTCACCTGATGCCCGCCCTGCCTCATCCACGTGCAAAGCAGATGCCCAGGCCTGCACATCCTTAATGGGGACACGTCAACAAAGGGGGGGGGCCACAGTTGAGAACCTCCATGGAAGAGACTTGAATAAT